GACTTCTTCCCTTCGGAAAGAAAGGGGGGGGGAGCAGAAGTTGTTCATATCATACAGGAGACCACACAGGCCGGTTGGTTCTGCGACCCTGGCCAGGTGGGTTAAGTCAGTGTTAGGCACGGCAGGTGTCGACACAGCAACTTTCTCAGCTCACTCCACTCGAGGAGCGTCCACTTCAGCTGCTGCAGCTGCCGGGGTGTCTCTACATAGCATCATGAAGGCAGCGGACTGGTCACGAGAGTCTACCTTCCTGAAGTACTACAGGAGGGACAACAACCAACACACGTTTGGCCAGGCTGTGCTGTCCACGGCTCTGAAGTCTGCATAAGGTAAACGATATACCCAAATAGGGAGTGTGCAGGTATAATTGAGGATTAGGCAAATTGTACTTACCATGAAGGATAATCCCAATTATACCTCACACGAACTATTTGGGTATATCTTCCCACCCTTGCTGTTCTTCAGCTTCCAAGTAGCTGAGAATGCCCACCCATGGTGAACAGCACAGACTCTTTCTCGCACGTCGTCAAATGGCGGCGAACATAGTCATTACGTCATGATATCCCGTGATGCTTTGCGATTAAAGCTTTGTACACGTGCGCCACCTAGCGATAAGCATAGGAAATACTGCATAAGGTAAACGATATACCCAAATAGTTCGTGTGAGGTATAATTGGGATTATCCTTCATGGTAAGTACAATTTGCCTAATCCTCAATTGACTGTGCTAATGTCAAGCAATATGTGTCAACATCATAAATATTGCATAATTCAGAATATCTCCAGTTTTGCTGCTCTGAAGTCACACTGGATGCCTTTAAGGCTTGGAACTGTTAAATGGCACAGTTCAAGACAATTTTACAATGTTTCTTTCTCTTCTTTGATTTGTGGATTCTGAATAAAAAAATCATTGTTTTGAAATGTATCAAATTCCTTGGTTTTGCAGGCAAGCTGCCACAGGTCATTTTACTTCCACCACTGCCCCTGTAGCAGGGTTTGAGCTAATTAGAAAATGTCCCAACGCTCCCCATAGGCCACACCAATTTAATTTCTTGGTTAACGGTTTCACCCGCTTAATTTTTTTCTGATTTGCAAAAAAAAAAAAAAATTCAGAATCAACTGCAAAATGCTCAGATTTTGCCCTGAACAGTTGAAAACAGTCCTTTTCATCCTAGTTGTTACAGTTATTCCATCTTTCAATGCAATGGTATCATTAAAAGTTCAAAATTCATTGTTTAAATTTTGAACCAGCCTGGTGTGTTGACTTCATGGCTCCTATTGTACCACTTTGGGCCATAATAGGATGCCTTGGCCTGTTTTTATTTTTTTTGCCCGCCCGCTCCATTATTTTTCTAGAAAAATCTGTTAACCAAGAAATTAAATTGGTGTGGCCTTAAGCCAAAAAATTTTCCCACTTCCCTCCCCTAGTGCCTCAGCCCTCCCCTCGCTAAATATCATCCCGTCACGTAGAAGGTATGAAGAGTGATTACAGAGGACATCCATCAGTTCTGCCATGTCAGTGGTTGTCTTATGTATCATTTATATTTTGTTGGTGTCATCAGATAGTAAAACCTGCCCAGTTTTCAGGGGCAGATAAGAAATGTCAGGAAGCACTACCCGTTTTTTGTGGAACTCGCTGTCACCAAGTACAGTAGGGGCATTCGTTGTCATTAGATAGCTTTAAACAATGTCTAGAGCTAGAAGTTCAAGGGTTAGGTGTAACAAGTCGATCGGTGTAATATAGCCAGCTGCCGCCGCACCACGTGCCTGGGAAGCTGGTGTGTCACACCGAAAGGAAATAAATCTAAATAAAATAAAGTCAACACACAAATTTGACACAATATAACAGTTTAGTTCTAGTTAGACATTAAAACATGAGAAACCCTTCTCTTTCCTCCTCCAACCTCTTTAATGATATCTTTGATATATTATTGTGATAGTCATCTTTCATTCCCGGGGCAGGCAAGGGACCACTTTGGCTGGGGATTCTTCCAGTTTTCTGGCTCATTACATGCAGGAAATTACTTTCTTGTCGTGCAGGGATCTGATGGTGGTCGGTGTACAGAAAGTGCGAAATGAAACGAAATGGAATTTTAAACAGTTCCGTTCCTTGCTATCTATAAATTTTCATTTCATTGTGTTTACATGTAAGGGATGCGGCTGGTGATAAAATTCCTCCCCGTGGGCAAACCGTTAGGACAGACAGAGACCACAAAGAAACACGTCCGCACACTTTGACTGCTCACCTCAAAATTCAATTTATTGTTAACGTACCTTATGACGTTGTGGTCACTTTATTCTTAACGTACCCCGATTGATCTGATAATGTTGCGGTCACTTTATTCTAAACGTACCCCGATCGATCTTCTAACGTTGCGGTTCTAAGAATACCATCAATCTTAACGTTGCCGTTTGGACGTCGAGCGGACACTAACGTCGCCGTTCCAACGTACGAACGGCTTAACGGCTTTCCTCCATACCTATTTTGTTCCATTTCGTTCCGTTTCGTTCCCTTTCGTTCCATTTCACACTTTCTGGAGTCCCCTGGTGGTCACCAATGTGTGCAGCTGTGGGAGTCATTGATGCGTGAAACTCGTACAGGCTGATTATTGAGTTTGAAGGTTTTATAATGGGACAAAATCAATAACAGTGGTGTAAGAAACTGAGAAAGGCAATACAGATAGTAGATTTGATGTGCTGAGATGCCCATCACAAATGAGGTTATTCAAGCCCTGAAAGGGGTGTATTAGGCCACACCAATTTAATTTGTTGGTTCTCAGATTTTTTCCGAAAAAATATGAAGCGACAGGGTGAAAAAAATAAAAATAAAAACAGGTCTTTTTCCTCCCTATTATATCCTTCCCTTTTCTATCCTATTATAGCCCCAATTGCTAATGATAGGAGCCATGAAGTCAACACAAAAGGCTGGGTTGATATTTAAACAACAAACTTTAAACTTTTAATCAAACCACTGCATTGATAGATGGAAAAGCTGTAATATCTGGGAAGAAAAGGACTTTCCTGAACTGTTGCGGGCAAAATATGCGCATTTTTTAGTTGATTCAGAACCAGACTGAACCTTTTTTTCTTTTTGCAAATCGGAAAAAAAATGAAGAGGTGAATCCGAGAACCAACAAATTAAATTGGTGTTGCCTTAAGTAAAGACGATGCAGGAATAAGACTAGAAAGGCTGACATAATTCCTTGTGAGCAAACACAGCAGAAAAAATGGTAAAAAAAAAGCCTGTATCAAAAAATGAAGATCAGTCCTGTATTATTTGCCCACTTTTTTTGTAGCATACTAGTAATTATTAGTGTCAGCAAAAAAAATTAAATATGAATTATGTTTCATTTCTAAAGAAAAGTACTTGTCTGTAACAATGATTTTCTTATTTTTATAGCTGACACTTAGATGTTATAAGAATATACTGTATACTACAACTGTTACTGTAACAGTACTATACAATATTGTGGCCTTGGAGCCCACTGCTACATGTACATTTGTACACCTGTTTTTCACTATATCATGGACTCATTACAACCTATTTCTCAAGTTTCCTTCTATGACCAGTTAATGGCATTGTGTCCCACACTTCAGTACTTTCAATTTCTCTGACATTGTAATAAAAGTCTGCAGTGGTTCAATAGGCACTTTAGAAGAGGGGAGGGCAGGGGCAGACACCCTCTCAATTTTTAATAGCTTGTTTATGATTGGATGCACCTGACTGGTTCAATTTTCTACTGGTTATTACTGAGCCATGTTCAAGGGCAGGGGGTCAACTGGCTTTGCTTCACATCAAGTGCCAATTGGCTGTGGAATCATCCAGTCATTTATTCTACATCAACACGTTGCCTGGGCAGCACATAAATGGCCCTGGATTAACATGTACATGTAGGTTTGGGAGTCAGGATGGGACAGGAGTAAGAGACACCTAAGACAGTTCAACCTTCTTAGGAATATCAAGGGTTTGTTCTTCGGGTCAAAGAAATAAAATAGCATCATTCAAGTAAACAAAAAGTCAAAAGGGATACTGAACTCAGAAAAATGTTTGTAAATCAAGTTTCATACAAGATGTTGACTAGTAGTAATTATTTAATATAATATAAAAACAAGTAGTCATAGACAACAATTCTCAGTAAAGTTTTATATTTTGCAGATTGGGAACATTATAGTGTATGTAAACAGTATGTGAGCACTTCACAACAGTACTGGTAACAGCATAAATATCGCAGAAATACAGGCAGATATCAATTATGCAAATGAGGACTTAATTTGCATGATTATTGAGAAAATGTTATAATTACATAGTGGTAACTGCCTGGAATTTCATACTTGGGATATTTGAAAGTTATGTTAAGGTGAACATAATTAAACATAACTTATTCAAATAAGGACCTCATCTGCATAATTTATGAGGAAATACTATAATGGCATTCTTTGATAAGATAAGACTGTTTTCTGGTGTAGAATATGATCAACAGATATAATTGATGCAATATAGGATCCTATTTGCACAATCAGGGGGATTAATCTATAATTTCTTAGCCATAAAGGCTAACCTCATTTGGCGAAGGTATGAGATCGTGGAACTGTAGTTTATTTATGTCAGACTTAAAGCCGTGAACATGGACCTGAATATAATCTAGTCTAGTTACCTCCATGAAAAATGGAGGTATTGTTTTTGGCACATTTGTGTGTGTGTATGTACTGTATGTATGTGTGTGTGTGTGTGTGTGTGTGTGTGTGTGATTGATTGATGATTTATGAGGTTCTCCCTCTGGAATAGGCTACATGACCATATGTTGACCATATCTATTACAGCCTGACCTACTAGTATTTCAGGCCAAAGGTGCTACTGTGTGTTTGAAAACAAAAACCTGTGTTATTTTGTTCTGTACTGTAGTGTACTGTGTAAAAACATTAAAAAACTCATATATTTCATGGAGGTATGAGATCTCCGAATTCTTGTTGATTGGCTTGTTTTCCTGCTGTGTTGTGCAGGTCCTGTGCTTGCTGTGTTTCCGTGTGTGGATGTTGAATGGCACACTACCCCAGTTCTCAGACCAGGACAACCCTGCATCCTTCTCACCATACCTGGCCACCAGGTAAGTCTACATTATCTCCAACACTGTCTGCATTAAAACATACAACACTTTACACCAAAAAGCAGTTATTCAAGCAACTGGATATGATTTTGGAAACGTCAGACGTTTTAGCTAGTATCCACTAGCTTTCGTCAGTGACTGAGAGACCAGATTCTGGGGAAATGCACTGGTTTATAAGCACAAACTATTGATTGATATGCAAATAAAGTGAAGACAAATTTTTGGAAGCATTTCTCCTCTGGTCTCTCAGTCACTGAAGAAAGCTAGTGGATACTAGCTGAAATGTCTGACGTTTCCAAAATCATATCGAGTTGCTTGAGTAACTGCTTTTTGGCGTATCGTATTACCTGGATGTCTAACCTTCATCGACGCATACAACACTTTGCCTACTCACATCACATCCTCAAACCCACAACGTTTAAAGAAAAAATCTGGAATTGGACAAAAACACATAAAAACAAACACACACCAATTAACTCCTTGTGGTAAACGTTTTGAATATATTTTGTACAAATTCATGACCTCTGACCTCTCAGACATCTAGTACAATTGTTTGTTTTTTTTTTAACTGTCAGTGGGTAATATTATGAATTGATGTTTAATGTGTAATTTACTATGTTGATAAGTTTTCTTGATAGCAGTTAAACGTGTACTATGTAAATAATTGTATTTTATGTACTACATGTAAAGGACTCCAGAAAGGATAGTGATGTATGATCACTAATGGGAGCTTCCTAAATAAACAAACAAACAAACATGAAGGGCAGTTTAGATATACATGATTGTGTATGTACATGATCAGCTACATGTATGTTATGAAGGCAATGAGGGTTCATGCACTGTAATAGGGAATAATGAATAAATCACAGAAGATGCAGCTGCCACAATGTCATCAAGACGTTATAATCATAGTGCAATGTACAATGTACTTGTAGCAGCTCTGAAAAAGCCTTTAGTTCCTCGTAATTGTTGTATGGTTGTGCCACAATAACGTTTGAAACTCTGGCCCGTGTGAGAACTAGAGGTACGGTATTACAACTTGGATTAAATCACACGGGCTTCAAAATGTTCCATAGAATAAATTGTAACATGTTTCATGTACACTGCCTGTGCCACTTTTGAAAAGTCGAATACTAACATCCGTGTCCAATCCGTGTATCTTAACAACAATTCCAACATTCGAATATATTATCCATGTCCATAATATCACCAGGGTCCATAATATCGTCACCGGGTGAGAAATAGTGTGCTGTAAGATATTTTTACTGCAACATACCCTAGGTATGTACATTTGAGGTGTGCAGTAGTGCATATCAAAAGTATGTTGCAGTAAAAATATCTTACAGCACACTATTTCTCAAGGTGGCGATATTATGGACCCTGGTGATATTATGGACACGGATAATATATTCGAATGTTGGAATTGATGTTAAGATATTTTGTTTAGGGACAGTAATTTTTCTCAAATTTTGGCATATTTAACGTTGAAATGTTATAGGGTGGGTAATATACTATGACATTAAAATACAACCTTTACACTACTGTGTCTCCCTCATCACCCTCAGTGTAGTATATATTGTACTCCCTCACTCTCTACCTCTCCCTCTCTCTCTCTC